GACCCTAATTTAGAGAGCTACCCACTGTGCCCATGTACCACGTATACAGACCGAACCCGGGGAACTTTAGGCGTTGGTGATTCCGAGATTGACTTCAGGTGGCACGTGTTTGTTTTATTTGGCGCTCGAGGGTTCGAGGTTTAGACGGTAAAGTTCGTTACTTCTCCTACCCTAAGCCCTAAACCCTAAACTTCAGGGTTCACGAAAATCTTGCATTTCTTGAGGGGTTTAGGGTTTAGGTTCTTGCATTTTCTTGAGGCCGCAGACTAAGAGGCACTCGCTGCTCCGAACTGCTCACTGCCTCCCGTGGCCTCCCCACACAGGAAGCCCAAACTTGCCGGATCTTGCCCTAAGACTCCAAGTGTGCCCACCTTGGGGTCTGAAGTCTAAAAAGGGTACCTATTTTGGGCAACTTGGAGTCTTAGGGTTATTGCAGCAGAACCCTAAACCCTAAACTTGTGGGCTGCCATGGCGATGGTTCAGCAAGCTTCCGTGATCGAGGCGGGTCTTTAAGGTCGGATCTTCATCCGGCTTTTTGGGGTTTGAGGGTTCAGGGTTTAGGCTTCAGGGTTTAGGGTTAAGGGTTTTTAGGGCTTAGGGTTTAGGGTTCAGGGTTTAGGCTTTAGGGTTTAGGGTGTAGGGCTTAAGGGTTTTATAGAAGCCAGAGTATCCTCATGCCCTTAAGGTAAAGTATAGGGGATTCACAGCTCCTTGCTGGGGTTCACTGTAGTAGAGAAGCCTGAATAGTGGGGAATTCGATTCCTTAGTATCAGTTGTGTTCCTTAGTCTACCTATCGTACCTTGTAGTCACAAGTCTATTCTGACTATTCTAGATATCTCAGAGGCGACTACCCGGTCAGATCCTGGATTGTGCTTCTTGGGACGCTCTTTGATTCCGTGGTCGGCAGGGCACCACATGAAGAAGTATATGGTAAATTGTAAATTCGGAAATATGTTGCATCACTTCTTGTGGTAGTCAGTCCGTTTCGGTGCGAAGTCTCCTTGAACGGAGCCCTTCAAGGAACCCTTAAAGGAGCGTTTAAAGCACCCCTTAAAGGAGAGCCCTTAAAGGAATTTTCAAAGGAGCCCTTAAAGGAGCCCTTAAAGCACCCTTTTAAGGAGCCCTTAAGGGGTATCCTCAAAGGAGCCCTTCAAGGAGGCTTTAACGCTCCCGGAATCGCCCCGATGGGTTCGGCGGTGCTTTTAGGGTTTAGGGTTGAGGGGGTTTAGGGGTTTAGGGGTTTAGGGTTTAGGGTTGAGGGGGTTAGGGGTTTAGGGTTTAGGGTTAGGGTTGAGGCGTTTAGGGGTTTAGGGTTTAGGGTTGAGGGGTTCAGGGTTTAGGGTTGCGGGTTGTGCAACGGTTCAGGTTCCAGGGTTTAGAAGTGTGGAGATTTAGAGCTTCAGAGTGGGTCCGGAATCTAAATGGAGAGCTAGGAATTACACGGGCTTGGGCTTTGGAGTTTAGGGTTTAGGCTTCGGGGTTATAGGGAGGCTCAGTGTGTGCAGGCTTTCGGAAAGTATAAGCAGAGTCTCGAATCCCAAACTGTGAGCTCTTTGATTAATATAGGGGCCTTAATTATTACCTATACTAGTTTTGGGGTTCCTTCTATTAATATGTTAATAGTATAACATACCCCAAAACCCTATTCTAATTCTAACCATTAAGGCCCCTACATTATGAGGTTTTCGAGTAGGGTGTCGAACGGCCCACATGCTTTTGCGACGGTTGAACCGCTGTGGCAGATTTGGCGCGGATTGCATTCACAATTGCTTTGTTTTGGCAGGCTCAAAGTGCACAGCCTTTCTTTTATAGCAGGATCAGCAGTCTGCCTAAAATGGCACTTGCAGTCCTATTGGCGACGTTTGCTCAACTTGCGAACGCCGTCCCAGGTAGTGCATGGAGGAATGATTTTTGTTCCGAGTTCCAAAAAGTCCAAGCCGGAACATTGCAAATTGAGAAAGCCCTCGTCGGAAAGCATCTTACGTTTGTCGTCCCCGTCTTCGACATGACTGACCCGACTTCAAGCCACTGGAATGATGGAGAGCCGGTGGGAACTCCAGAAAATGGGATGGTCATCACTGACAAGGTGCATGGCTTCCACGCATCGGTATTGAAAGCAGTGTCGGCCGTCGCTAACTTCACGTACACCATTCGCCTCAACACGGTTGAGGCTGCTTCAACCACCGACTGGCTGTTGCAAGAGTCTCCGAACTATGATGCCGTCCTAGGCTCGTGGACGGACAGCCTTGTACGCCGTGAAGCTGGTTTCCTGCAGCCATACCCCCTCGTCGAAAAGGATTTGAACATGATTGTGCGAAGGCAGATTAACAACCCATCGGTGTGGAAAGTCATGTTCACCTTCATGAAGCCCTTCTCAGCAAGCTTATGGATAATGCTATTCGTGTGCTCCCTAGTGACAGCTGTGTTTTTTGGCGGCAAGCGGCAAATTGCATTACGTTCTCTTTTTCTCAAGGTAAGCACCGCGGCTTCATCAACTACAGTTTAAATCCAAAGCCAGCTTCATAAACCATTTTGTGAGATCCAAGGCGAGTCCCTTAAACCTGGCAAAAGCCTAACCCGCGAGTCCTGGACCGTGAAACGCCGAAGAGGCCCCTAGGACCTTAAAGGAACCCCTGACAGGACCCTCGCAGCCTAAACCCTAAATCCTAAACCCTCTTATCTTAACCCCCCCCCCATTCAAGGTTTATGTGGTTTTTTGAGACGTCCCGCGTCTCCATTGAGGAGGGGGCGGAAGTTGAAGTGTCAACTGCTCCAGAAGGTGCGCTGAAGTCGGTGTGGCTCCTACGCTCCCACCTAGCAAGGGTTTAGGGTTTAGGGTCTAGTCCCACCTAGTAAGGTTTAGGGTTTAGGGTTTAGTCCCACCTACTAACTAAGGCTTTGGGTTTAGGGTTTAGGGTTTAGGGTTTATTTTTTTGCCTTCAGGTGTTTTTACAGGCTTCTAGGGTCGGGGTGTCAGGATGTAGGGGCTCTAATGCAAAGCACGGAAACCCCAGCATAAATTGAAAAAATGTGGTTGAGCCCAAACCTTACCCCAAATCCTAAGCCCTAAACTCTATAAGCCCTAGATCCTAAGCCCTAAACTCTATTCCTAAATCCAAAGTCCTAAACTGTTAACCTAAATCCTAAGCCCTAAACTCTATATATAAGCCTAAATCCTAAGCCCTACACTCTATAAGCCCTAAATCCTGAGCCCTAAACTC